CCTAAACACTAAACCCTAAAGCCCAAACCCTAAACCCCAAACCCTAAACACCAAACCCTAAACCCTAAACCCTAAACCCTATCTCTAAACCCACTTAGGTTTGAAGTTGCGCTTCCGACTGTGCGGCGAGAAGGCCTGCAATGGGAGAGCCGGGTGCATATCTTCCACGATATGGTTTGCCATCAAAATCAGTAGCCGGATGCACTCCAGTCGCCAATATGTTCAGCGACCAAGCAATAATTTCCAGGGCAGGATTCAAGCTTTCGTAGCCAAGACTAATAAATTCTCGCAAGTTCAGCAGCGGGTATCGTTGTTGATAGCTTCCTAAACATGATGTTCGGTCATACAATACGTACTATTAGTATATATGGTTTCAAACTAAAAACCATTTAAGTATAACTAAAACCAACAAACGTGAATGAAGAATGCTTGCACGGAAGTCTCGGTCAGCATCTCTGGCAAGAACAAAGTTGCAAGTCAAGAGTATAACCCTATCACCGGCCTTGTTGTATCTGCCGTCGTCTCCGTGCATGCCAATAGGCATGCACCCCTTTCCAGGGTGCACAGCAGCCCACGGTTGGTGGGCCTCCAGATGAGCCCAATACTCATCGATGGCAGCCTTGCCGATCTTGACCTTGCCAGATTCCTCAGCTAGATCATCATGTATATATTATGTGACAGCTAGCAAGACTGCATTACAAAAGCCATTAATTGCGAGGGCCCCATAAATGCAAGGATAAGGCTCGTGAAGATAATGAATCAGTTCATGTGGATAAAGGATCGGCAGATTCATCATCGTACGATCTTGTCTGTTCATCGCCAGTCGAACAGGGATCTGAACATAGTGAAGATCCTGATTCGGATCATTTAAAATACAGAAAATCGAGATTCCCTAAACCCTAAACCCTAAACCCTAAACCCTAAACCCTAAACCCCTAAACCCCTAAACCGTTATTATTAATATATATAATTATCAAGCCAAGAGTCGACGGGCAGTTGCAGCATCCTCATTATATCGCGTTCCTCAGCTGCTAGCATGCCAGAATCGAACTTTACATATATATATATATATAGGGTCTAACTAGGTGTAGCCATATAATTATGCCTAGATTCCACGTTCCCTGGATACTTTCCAGAACAGCCGGCCCGTGCAAACTGCCGTGTCAAGTCCGAGCAGTTGTTGCGGGACTCCTTCACCATAGCAGCAGCAGCTTTTTGTAATTCAGCTGTAGAAGTAGCCTCAGATATTCGCACAAACTATCAACGGCCTCCACCTTAACCCCCAAACCCCAATAATACATTTGTTGGAAGCTATACCTGATCAGGAGTAGTCGTACTAGTAGTTTGATTATAGTAGCGACTTTAATTGCAGCAAACGGACACCAGTTCCCAGGGAAGCCAGCAAGTAGTCGGCAAATGCGGTGTTTTCATCTGCGTGCAGGTGCTGGCGCTTTATTTGAAGGACCACGTGGCCAGCTCAAATAAGCAGTTTGGGGCATAGCTAGGATCGTCGGGATTGCGGGTTTTTCGGGGCATAGATAGGATCGTCGGGATTGCGGGTTTGTCCTATAGAAGGCTAGATATTGTTTTGATTGGGGAGATTTGCAAGCATACGGGTCTAAGACTGATTTGGCACAGCTCTTCACAAATGTAGGTCGGGTTGGGGCTTTCTGAGGCCTCAGGGTACAACAACGAAAATGCTAAATCAAGGCTTAGGGTCTAGGGCTTAGTCTTTCGGGCATAATTATATATCTAAGCTGTCATCGTATTGGGGTTTAGCCTTTAGGGCTGAAGCTTTCGGTCACCAAGTTGTCGGTGTATGGGGTCTAGGGTTTAAGGGCTTAGGATTATCAATTTGTCATATGTCTGGGGTTTCGGATTTCGGGCTATAGCTAGCCTTTTTCATAATAGTTGTCGGCATTATGGGGGTTTAGGGTCTAGGCCTTTAGGCTTTCGATTTAAGGGCTTAGGCTTTGCATCGGCACGTGTATGAGGTTTGGAATTTCGGGTATATAGTAATATATAATATAATATAATTATAAGTTAGTTGTCGGCATATGGGGTTTGGGGTCTAGGCCATTCGGCAGAATTTAGGGTTTCGGGTATAATATAATAATTAAAGTTAGTTGTCGGCATATGGGGTTTAGGGTCTAGGCCATTCGGCAGAATTTAAGGTTTCGGGTTATCTATATATATATATATATAATATATATATATATATATATAGCTGTCGGCATATGGGGTTTAGGGTCTAGGCCATTCGGCAGAATTTAGGGTTTCGGGTAATATATATATATATATATAATATATCCCTAAACCCTAAACCCTAGACCCCTAAACCCTAAACCCCTAAACCCTAAAATATATTCGCACACACAACTCCTTTCTGCATCGCGGTCGCCCCTCATCACTGCATCATCATCAACTATGGAACGATCCCGGCAGCTCTCCCGAATCTAGACACATGACCCTAAGGCTAAGGAACTAGAGGTGTTGCTAGGTTAGCTAGGGGTTGGTATTAACTAGCGGGAATAGCCGTAGGGCCACGTATTCCGACTCAGGCTCGCGAGCTCATCCGGAAACTTTCGTTGCAGAGTCCTCGCATTGACCTCAGTCACAGCCAGACGTGTGCAGAAGGATTATTAATAATTGCATTATAAGGAGCCTGGCATTTTTGGTTCTCGCAGCTAAAGAACTCACTCGTGCAGATTGCACAGCGCTTGGGGATTATGATCAGGTAACTCGAGTGTTTCTAAAAACCACCTCGCTTGCATCGTTCTAATGCTTGTCCTGAACGACCCTGCTTACCAGCTAGGCCTATGCTGTAGAAGGCTTCGAGGCCTAGGGGGGTTATGCAGCGAGGTGTTCCCCGGCACTCTCTGATCATGATCGCACACTTTCAATCACAAAAGGGCTTACTTCTTGTTGCCTTTGGCACCTGCAGCCTCAGACTCAGATTTGGCGGCACCTTTAGCCTTCGGGGTCTTGGGAGCAGCGGCATGAAGCTTTACGTGTTTCGCCGCCGTTTTGTAGACATCGTTGGCGTGATTCAATTGGTAGACGAGGGGTTCCAAGGCATCGTCCGGCTTCCCAAAAGCGATTGCAGCCTCCAATAATTCAGCACTTAAATAAAAGCTTTGCGAGACCACATGGAGCTAGAGATGGTGCATAATATTGTTCGATCATCGAAGCTATACATCCCTGCCTCCAGCCGCTGACGTGCTTCACGTAGCAGCTCTGCTTGTGCATTCATCGAATGCACCAAGGCGTCGATGAGCTGTGCATCCCTGGCGTGCAGGCTCAGCACTAGTTACATATTGGGTTTGATACATATATATAGGGGTTAGGGGTTTAGGGGTTCAGAAGGTATTTAGGGGTTCGATTTCAGGGTTTAGGGGTTTCCGGGTCCGGGTTTAGGGTTTCTGCTGGCTCATGGATGAGCTGTTCTTCGACAGCTCGGAAACATTAAGGGTACTCATCGGAGTTCGGCCTTTGCAAGTTTGGGAGATTTTATTCGTAGACAATTAATTATATGGCTTCGGTCTACGAGGACGAGTAATATATAATTCCATGTTTTGGGGGGCTCGTATAACTGTCGAGGGGCAAGCCATTGCTTTTGAGCTTGTGCTCGTAGCTCTGGATCTCCAGAAGATTGCTCGAACATAGATTCATCGCCTGAGGGAGTCATATAAAAGTTGTATAGGGTTTAGGGTTTAGGG